GATGATGATGTTGATTATGAAGAGGATGAAGATGATGAGGATGAAGATGATGATGATGGTGATGATGATGATGTTGATTATGAAGAGGATGAAGATGATGATGATGAAGAGGATGATGATGATTATGAAGATGGTGATGATGATGATGAAGTTGATGATGAAGATGATTATGAAGATGATGATGGTGATGAAGATGATTATGAAGATGACGATGATGATGATGATGATGATGATGAAGATGGTGTTGATGATGATTATGAAGCTGATGATGATTATGATGATGAAGATGATGATAATGGTGTTGATGATGAAGATGATGAAGATGATGGTGTTGATGATGATGATGATGATTATGATGATGAAGATGATGGTGTTGAAGATGATGAAGATGATTATGAAGATGATGAAGATGAATATGAAGATGATGATGATGAATATGATGATGATGATGATGATGATGATGATTATGATGATGAAGATGATGATGATGAAGATGATGGTGAGGATGATTATGAAGATGATGAAGATGATGAAGATGATTATGAAGATGATGATGATGATAATGATGATTATGATGATGAAGATGATGAAGATGAATATGAAGATGATGATGATGAAGATGATGATGATGAAGATGAATATGAAGATGATGATGATGAAGATGATGATGATGAAGATGATGGTGAGGATGATTATGAAGATGATGATGATGAAGATGATGAAGATGATTATGAAGATGATGATGATGATGATGATTATGATGATGAAGATGATGAAGATGATTATGAAGATGATGATGATGATGATGATGTGGAGCCTTTCTGGCTCCAGCTGTCTGGTGGATCTGCTCTCCTCGCTGCTTTCAGCTGCTGTGAATCATCGGACGGACCGAACCATTCGGGACCAGAACCGGGACCCGAACGGACTCTAAGGTCCTGGTTCCGGCTCGGTCCGCCTGAGCTCCGCGTGGAGAACCGGATCTGTTCTTCAGGGTTTCCCTGATATGATTTCCGGTCCGCTTCAGTCAGGAAATCCGTTTGGTCGCTTGTTTCTCAGTTGGTTCCGTCCATTCGTCCGGCATGAAGCTTTTAGCAGCGATCAGGAAAAGGTCAAGTTAGCGACAGAGAGAGAGTAAACGGAAGTTAGCTACCCAGACCTTCAAAATAAAACAGTTTGTATCGAGCACAATTCAACACAATTCCTCAATAATTTGGTGTCATCAGTTAAAACTTTAACAAACTGCCCCGATGATCATTAATGATCGTTAATCTTCTCTTTGTTGTTTTAGCTCCAGCTTTAAAAGTTTAATTTATCCAAAGTTTGAAGTTCTGGGTCCAGATACAGAATCTGGCGGCACATAGACCACTAAGCCTTATTTTTCTATCAATATGTGAATCTGTGCTAATAAATCCTCTGCAGCAGGGGCCCCTGCCCGCCGGCACCAGAGGGCCCACATGGGGAACAACCCATCATGTGGATTTATTTTATTGCCCTTATTCTTTTAATCATTTCATCATGTTTATAGTGAAGAAAAGTTAATTATTTATGGAGATTTCAAAATGATTATATCTAAAAGAAAAGGAGAAACGACAATAAAAATAGTTTTCTATGCTTGATGTTTAGGTCTGGCAGGCCCAAAGTCGGTCCTTCAGCGCCGCCGTCTGCAGGTTTCCCTGCCATAGATCAGCAGATTCTGATGATTGCAGTTCTGCAAAAAGCCTGTTAGATAAACTTTATTGTCATTCTGTTTAGAGTAGAGCAGCTTTAGCAGT